CGAACGTCGAATGTTGACTTTTTGGTCGCAACGCGTTGACTGGCGTTGACCCTTAGGGTTTCTAACGTCGAACGTTGACTTTTTGGTCGCAACGCGTTGACTGGCGTTGACCTAGGATTACACGTTGACCGGCGTTGACCCTAGGGTTTCGAACGTTCGGTATTGATTAGTGTGGACCTCATCGAAATATCCAACAACCGACGAAAAAGAGGCAAATTTGGACTTCGAAATAGGATCGGGGGGGCTCGAATCGGGTTGAGACACTTAAGGGTGTCTCAACTTGGCCGAGACACCCTTGGGGTGTCTCGGCCAAAACCGAGATCCCCCCCCTTTTTTTATTTTTTTTCTTTCCTTCTTTAAATTCTTTTGGGGGCTTATTTGTAAAATTGGCCGGAGAATTGAGGTGGTGTTCATGTAATAAAGGACTGAAATTAGGATCTAGATTACATGCTCATTTGGTCGGAAATTGAGAGGTGTTTGTATGCGAAAGATTCAATGTTGTTTGAGGGGTTTATTTGCAAAAGGAGCAACCCACAAAGTATAGGGGGGTTTATTTGCAAAAGGGCTAAAATTTCAGGACTGAAATTCCAAAAGTTTAGATCACAAACCTATGACCAAAGTTTTGAGAAAGGTGTGCGGAAACTAAACCGAAATTTATGGAGGGGTCTATCTGCAAGATTGGCTAAATTTTACAAAAAGGGTTTATTTGCAAAATTAACCAAAATTGCGGGGTATTGGGGAGCTAGATGATCAAATATGATGACCATGACCCAAATCGAGCGTGTCCTTTACTCGAATTTAGCCTTGAGCACGAGGGGTATTTTGGGTATTTCACCAAAATTTACCGCAAAATGACAATCGTTGTTTTGCATGCACGAAATTTGTAGGTTTAATTAGACTTCAACTATAAAATCCTATTTATTCATAGGACTTTAGTTCAAGTTCTTAATTTCCCTTTTAAATTTCGTGTATTCATATTGTGCCTGACTTACTGCTTTTCATTGCAGATTTTCAATGCCTCCACGTCGATCTCGACCTCCTAGGAGTCGCTCCCGTTCGCAGCCTAGCGAGGAGGAAGTTCTTACAGCATCCTCCCCTCCAACAGTTTCCTTTTTCGGGGGTGAGAATCTTTATTTCTGTATCCCTGATTGATCCCTTCGCGGGTCATTAAGGAAGAACCGACACCCTCCTTCGCGAGGATTGAGGTTTCAGGACATTGGTGGTTCCATATACCCTCGTTTGGCCCCTTCGCGGGTCATTCGAGAAGGGCCGACACCCTCCTTTGCGGGGGTTGAGGTTTCGGATTTGTTTTGCTTAGCCAATTCAAGTCTTCTGGTATATTGGGGCGATCTTGTGTCGTCTTACACCTTGTAGGTCGGTGTATGTTACCACGTTATTTACGTGATGATGCATACCGTTCTTCCAGTGTAAGACACTCAAACTCGTCTCTCCAATCACCCTGTGAATGATCTTATCTCGCTTTTTTTTTACGAGATGGATTTTCTGATTCTATCCTTGTCTTGTTGCAGTCGAGTTCCCCGCGGGCAGCCTCCCTCATCATGCCCTACTGGTTGTAGCAGGGAAGTCTTTTATTCGGCTTCCATTAGGCAGGCCATTGGTCCACTCCCTCAGTTCGACAGAGATCGCTCCGACGAATCCTGTCATTTGATACGGGATGGAGGGCGTCATTGCTTACGCCAGCTGATTACGGATGCTTCCTTCACTGCAGATTCTACTTCTACTCAGGCTTTAAAGAAGCCCAGTTTTCTGTTCGAAGATCACACTGAGGATCCTGCTAAGTTGATTCTTACCGAGGAGCATTGGCTGAATCTTCATGAAGGAGCTCTCCTGTATATTCCCTCCATTCCTCGTCAATGTTCTTTCACCCATTTGGAGGGACAGGCCGTGGAGCGACAGATGTCTTGGCATCTTACCGATGATGCTGAGCGAGTTCAGTGCGGATATACCTCTCATCATAAGACTCCCGGTTCTGCTGGGTATCATTACATTCGCGGTCTTCGACCAGGGATTACAGGTCTTAATACTGCACCCCCAGGCGAGGTATCAGCAGCCGCTCCTACCGTGAAGAACCGTCTGGCTCATCTTGGGAGGAGATTACCTCCCCCAGATTATAGATGCTATGGTTGGGCTTTCTCACTGCCCAAGGGGTGGTGGACACGCATGACCAGTTATATCTTGGGGCGTTGGGAGAAGGATTTGAGGAGCAGTGGGTTGTATGCACCTATACGAGCCACCATGTATGGACTCCCGGTCAGCTGCCACCATTTCTTGGCGTTGTTGGAGACATACATGCCTGACAGTAACACATTCCTGACCAGCGGCGGAGAGTTAGGGTTGGCCTTACACGAGATGCATCAGGTTTCTGGTCTTCCGATGGGGGATTGTCCATACCAGGAGTACTTTCCCTCGAACCAGCAGTTAGAGTGGTTGAAGAAGGATACTCCCGATATGTACGATACTCTTTGGGACCTCACTTGCCATTATCATACCTCCTTGATCAAGATTTCTCCTCCAGCGAAGAGGAAAAAGCAGATCAGCTTGAAGCAGTTTGCTGTCTATTTGTTCCCGAATTTGGAGGGTGATTCCGGCGAGCCCCTTCGTGAGTCAGACGTCTTGACCCCTACTGTCATTAACGAGTTGATGGAGAAGGCTGAGGCTCGTTCTTACACCATTGCCAGTGCTGAGGGAGCTTTTCCTGCGGGAACCAAGTTTCGTTCGTTCCTCCGCCGTGCACAGAAGTCTATTGAGCCCCGGACTCTGCTAGCAGGCTATCTCGCCCTCTGGTTGAAGAAGTGCGTCGTTCCGTATCAGCAGTCAGACGCCTTACCTCTCGAGGTGCTCTTCCCCGCAGTTCAGCTAGCTTATGGGAGGGAGCTTTCTCTGCTCCCAGCGATGGTTGCTGATGGCTCGGGAAAGAATTTAATGATGTACAACGAGAGCTTCAAGTTTGTAAGAGCTGGGAGTTCTTCAAGTGTTTTCCTCACTTTTCGGGTCGCTATGGTGATGTGCTGATTGATGAGGAGAAACCCAGAAGTAATCGGACTGTTCTCGACGTTGGTTGTTTCCGCTGGTTAGTGAACATCCGTGTTGGGTATCTCGTTCTCCGGGTGAAGAATCGTTGCCACATAGAGCCTTACATTCCCTGTCGTTTTGCTCGTCAGTTTGGCTATGACCAACTATATGTTGGGAATCCGAGCCATGGTTTGAAGGTTGAGGGAGGGCTTATTGACGGC